ACAGAAATATATATGTTTACGCGCGCGTGTTTTTTGTATTTTTTTTTTTCATCACTCACTTCAATTCAACATTTAGTCCAATTAATTTCGATGTTAGCAGTGCAGCTCTGGAGGGGGGACTGAAAAGCGCATAATATAAAATCGGACGTGCGGACATATTTGCTTCTGAGTTTGATAAAATTAATTTTCGATTATTGCTGGTGGTGCTGCTGGTACAGCTGTGACCAGCCAGCCTACGAGCGCGTTACTAAATTCATTGCCAGTGGCAGCTGATTGATAACGCCAATGGTGTCTGTGGACGATAGCACTACGCTCCAAAACAGAGTAGAGTATTTTCACGTAATGTGGGCAAAATGAAAAATAGAGGAGAGCAATGGCTCTTTACTTAAGAGAACTACTTATTCGATATATAGTAAATTAAATTGGGAAGGCGTAAGAGTGTGTGCCGTAGGGGTTTCATGTTAATTAATACTATTGTTATGACAACAAATACATTCATTCATTCCTTTTCATACTAACTACTAACCCAGAAAGGAAAACCCCTTCCACCACATTAAGGAATTTTTGGCGTTGCGAATGGCACTAAATAAGTTTTTAGACGAGTAAAGAATTACTAAATTTTTGTCGGTAAAAATGGTCTTCTTTGGTTTCAAAATATTCTCATCATCATTTGTACGTACACTCCTGCACAGAGTTGGGCAAAACTTATTCGAATGATAATGATTCCAACTCAGGATAAAAGACCTATAAGACGGAAAATTTCACTGGGGGTATTCTCTGACAAGATCTTTAAATAAAGAACATGAAAGTACACAGAAAAAAAACCAAATATGTCCGCTTGAAATCTGCAATAATTTTTTATGCTATGTTTTAATAGCATTTACTTTGTGAATGAACATATCTACTACCTTATTTTCGTGTACATTATTTGTTTAAGTACCTTACCATTAAAGAAGTAATACAAGGCTTTTTGGAGAAACATTTTTCTAGCAACTACGATGTTTTTGTTTCAAAATTGCTTTAATCATTTGAAAATAGTGGCGTCCATATGTCTTTGAAAATGTACAACGTGCATCATCATTTGGTAGTCATCCACCGAATCCAATGAGCAGGACGAGCGCTATGATGAAGTTCCTATACCATTTGAAATGAGGTAATAACTCCGCAGGTCCTGGGTTCAAGCCCAAGCAACATTGCAAAAAAA